TAAAACTGCGTACTCAAAAAAATTCGAATACTTCGGAGAATAAAGTTGGAAATTTGGGTGAAGATTTGTTGGATTTTTTTGTAGTTTTCTACAAAGTTTTAAACTTGAGTTTATGGGTTTTTAAAGAGAATGGCCCGTAGTCATAGTCAAAATAAAGTCGACTTTAAAGTTAGTTGCAGCTTTTTGACATAATTTTCAATGGGATATCTGACTATGACTACGGGCCAATGAACGGTATTTCAATTGAAAATTCCTAAAAATAAATAAATAAACATGAGTGGCGAACAATATCATTTTGAAATGGGGGTGCTATTGTATTGGCCAATACTGTACATATAATTCTTTTATTCGGGTGTTATTTACTGGTTCCACAACTAGCGAGTGAAGGTCTATCGAAGTACTCCCCGGCAGAATTGAATTTATTTAAATTTTGTCCAACTACATACATCTACGGATGTGGAAAGGAATTTTTTCTAATCTTTCAACAATTTTAAATGATAAGAGAAGGTCATTCCGTGTTATTGAAAAAAAAAATTAAATAAAACTTCATTGATTTAGCATATTTTAGAGAATATTTTGGTAATTTGTCGAGCTTTTTATAGCGCTTATTTACCGTGATATTTTTACTGAATGGAAAATTAAAACTATTTTAACAGATTCGTGTTGATGGATTTGTACACCACTTCGTATCTACTAGTTTATGGGGCCACTCATTACAAATTTTCAGTCAGGTTTCAGAAGTCCAATATGACGATTCCAACATGGCGGACAAATTTTTAAAAATTTATTGAATTCTCTCAAAACTTCTTATGCGGGGGTATTTGGGATCATTGATTATGAATCTGACCACGAATTTTTAAAATTCAAAATGGTTCCAAAATGGCGGACAAATTTTAAAAAACTTATTGAATTCGCTCGAATTTTGTTACGCGGATGTTCTTGGTAGTATTTAGGACTTTTGATGGTAGCTGATTACGAATCTGAAAGCAAATTTAAACAATTTTAAATGATGGGTTCAATCATATATGTATGTAGTACTCCTATATTGGCGGTAAGAGCTAGTGCCGCCCGAAAACATTACAGTACAGATATATCAATAAATACAGAAAAATACACGTGCACATATGTACGTTCCCTGCAGAAAATGTTTCTAACTATAAGCTATCTTTAAGTTGATTAGGCTACATCTAATGCAGAGGTAAACCACCCTACCTTTGCATTATATGTAGCCATGGGTGGTTACCTCTGCATTTGATGTAACTAACTTGTGACTAACTACTTTTGGACATAAAATATCAATAGGAAAAGCAAAATATTTTTATTATTTTTTTTATTTTTATTTTTATTTTTTATTTACTTTATTAATTTTATTACATTTCATATTTGTTTCCATATTCTGCTGTCGGTGGTCCCATATTCGAACTCCGTCAGACATAACTTCAAAATGATATGAAATTTCGATCTTCCCTTAATTTGTCCTCAATTCGAAAAAGTATTTGCGAAGGCCAGGATATTCCTTCATTACTACAGCATTACTTGTTAACTAGTTTCTTTTTGTAGCTAACTACAAGTTATATATTTTATAGAAATACATACACAAAAACGGCACTAGACTGTCTCGTTTTGATTTCGGAATGCTTACACATTGAGAAGTTAGCTTATTGCCAATATAGAAGTATTACATACATACATATACATATGTGTTCAATATGACGACTTTCTTGTTTAAAAAGCTTTTGGATTTTAATACTGACATAGTGAAAATTATGTTCCTCTTGAATTCAAATATTAAACAAAGTTGGCAAAAGTTGGCTATGATTTTCTGTGTGTGTCAAGTTTATGTCATACATATGTATGTTAAGTAATAACAATATGTCAATAGATTTTTTGCAAAATTTGACAGAAATTTTTATAAATGAAGAATTAATGAATAATTTTTAAAATGACGCGATTAACGTCGCAATTTTCATTACTATTTAGAAAAAAAATTAGATTGAACAAAACTTAGGGTGAAGACTCTAATATTTAGTATTTCGTCCCGCTAGATTTTTCATTTAGTCCACTGTGTGCCACCAACAAATTAACAAAACTGAGTTCGCGTTTAATATAGAGGCAAAGGTAGGGTGATCCACTCGGTTTTTCCAAACCGGTTTCTACTGTTTTTTTTTTTGATATCTATAGGCGTTTTTTTTTAAATCTTTATTTTTCGAATATCATATACCCCAGAATTTTCATCGATAAAACCGTTTTTTTCTTTTCATACAAATCTTGATCTCTCGATAAAAGTTTTGAGTTTTTGAAGCATCGTGTGATATGCAGGACAAGTTAATAAATATTTTATTTATTGTTTATTTCAGTTAATGTGTTCAGTTCAGTTAGCGATATCAATGATTTTTTGCTCAACGAGCTTGAGAAAGAATACATGAGGGATGACGACTAAAACTACTCCAGCGCTCATGGGCGGTTAAATGTTTAATCACATGTGTATTGACGACTGTAAGAATTAAAAACATATTTTTATTTCTTTATCAGTATATTTTTTATACATATGTTGTTTTTGCATTGTTATACATATTAGGGGTATTCTGTAAGTCTCGCAAAACCCTTTATTATCACACGATATATATACATATGTATGTATGTATGTATTTAGAAAAAATCTGGGAAAACAACTGATCATGTTATAGATATACAAAAATATAGATATATATACATATGTATGTATCGTTACGTTAATATAGAAAGATCCTATCTAGCATTTTTGTTTCTTTGTGGAGTTGTTTTAAAGTGCATAAAAATTAGAGTTCTTTAGTCGGCAATATCTTTAAAAAATCGTTTTTAAATAAATACTGAAACTAATTTATTCGGGTACTAGTTTTTAAATTCTGTAAGGCTCTTGGTAAGTAGTCTACCAACTTTTGTACTACTTTGAATTTCGAAAAAA